TGGACTGGTTATTTATTTGCTAGGTGTGGATTATTATCCCTATTTTGCAGGTGAGGAAACAGACTTAAAATAGTACAAGACTAGCTCAAGTCACAAAGCAGAACTGCAACCAATGCAAAGCAGATTTCACCACAACCAGAAGAATCACTTTTGAAATAAAAAAATTTCTAATTTCAAAAGAATTACATTAAGAAATATTTGCTGTAAAAATTCAGAATTACAGCTGAACATTATAAAAAGTTCAGAAGTTGGTCACTATCTCTAATCCTGGTTCTTTTTCCAAGGAAGACCCATGGTTAACAGTCTCATATGTACTGCTTCTCAGATTATAATGTATATTTAAATCACCTGGACATTTGTTAAAATGCAGATTCTGACTCAGTAGGTGTGTGATGGGCCTGATCTACTGAATCTCTACTAAGCACTCAAGCGATGCTGATGCCAGTGGTCCATGGACCATGCTATGAGTACAAGGTCATAGGGCAATGTGCATTTTTATTTTCATTGTTACTGCCAAATTACATTCCGAAGCAACTGTATCAATTACCAACAGAATATGGGAGTAATACTTATTTCCCACGTTTTCTCTAACACTTAGAAATTTCCCTATTCATTTTTTTCTCAATTTGATAGGTGAACTATATCTATGTTTTTCAAATGTATTTTTATTTTTTAACAAGTTTTTTCACTCACTTATACGTTCATTGGTTATTTATACATTCTCTACTTGTCTGTTCATATTCTTGACTCATTTTTCCATTTGGATATTCTTGCCCCTCTATTTTAGTGGCTTATATGAATTCTTTATATATTTTGGGTATCAATCCTTGGTCTGTTGACTGTCTTGCAAATATTTTCCTCTGGGTCTAAAGAAGAAATTTTTACCCAGCAGCATTGTCCGGTGACTGAATGAAAGTGAAGCTGTTCAGAAGTTGCATAACCACTTGCTAGGGAGGAATTTGGTACCTCTCTCGACTTCCTGTGCCTTCTTTTTCATATTAATACAATATCTCAGAAAAGAGCTTATCCTACTGTATTATGGTTGTTTATTTTTTGGCCTCATCCATTCAACAGTGATCTCTTTGAGGGCAGGGATGAGGGTCTGTGAGTCATCTCTGTATTGCCAGTACCCAGTTTTGGGTCTAGCACAGAGCAGGCACTCAGAAAATATTTAGTGGATGAATCAATGGACAGAGGGTTAGATGGGTCTTGTTGCTGGATTCCGGCCAGGATTTGCCCTGTGACTCAGCTAGGAGTTGTTTTGGATCCTTAAATAGGGTGACAGAAGAGGAGCAAGAGGACCCTTTGCTCCTAGAGGAAAGTGCCCTCTGGGTGACTTGTCTTCTCTCCATTCATTTGCATATTAGATACTCTGGTGCCCAGAGACAGCAATAATGACAATAGCCAATACTTATGTAGTGCCTTTAGTGTGCTTTGTATACATTAATTCATCTAATTCTTACAGCTTCTACATGAGGTAAGCATTATCAGTATTATCTCCATTTACAGATGAAGAAACTGAGGCACAGTGTGGTTAAGGAATTTTCCCAAGATCATACAGCTAGTAAATGGCAGAACTGAGATATGAACCCAGCTGTCTGGCTCTGTAATCTGTGCTCAAGAGAGAACATGAAAAACACTAGACCTGGTACAAAGTAGGCACTAAACAAACATTTCTCTCTTCATTTACCATCCCTCCCCGAGAAGTGAGCCTTTTTTGTTAATGATATCTCAGACCAGTAGCTTGGCAAAATCCAATCTTGGCCCTACTTTTCCTCTGTAGCTTTTGTCTCTGAACCACACATTCATCCTTGCTGGAAGTGCCAACAATCCCTGTTCTCCTAGGAACCTGGTAACCCCAATTCCCATGCAGCCAGCACAGGGATTGAGGCTTTCCATGATCTGGACCTGTTTTTACCCTCTAGCCACCCCCCCGCCCCCCACCAAATCCTGACACTCTGGCCCCAAGGCTTTGCATGGTGCTGCCATCTGGTAGGTACAGATGGCCACTGACAACCGTCTCTGAAGAGTGAACAGCCACTGGCCAAGACTGGTTACTGTTCCTCTTTAACCCTCAGGTCAGGGTACCCTATGCAGAATGTAATCAGTTGGTGGCTGAATTCCATTAGTGACTGGCCTTTTCTAACTCTAGTATCAAAGGTATTTTGAATGAAGGCTTAGTGTTGGGGGAGTCACAGTGTGGTGGTACTTGTGGGTAGGAAGTCCTACTTAGCTCGTCCTCAATCACATCAAGAGAAGAGCTGCCTACCCAATGTAAAAGATGGGTGAAATCCAGAGGCTGTAGTAGGTAAACCTTATCAAAATCTTCAGCCCCATTGTATATGCCTCAAGGCACTCACTCTCCTCTTGCGGCAGGAGTTGAAGGAGACCCTAGATTCTCTCAGTATAAGTTTGAAGAACTACTTTGTACTGGAATCTCTGCTAGGCCTGCTCACACCTATTATCTGATTAACTCCTCACAATGATCCCCAGCAGGAGGCAGGATTTATTTAAAGTAAAGGAGAGGAAACACAGGAGTTAGATAAATGACCGCACTTGAGAATCAGAAACATCCTTACAATCCAAGGATGATTTTTAGCAGCTTCCTGAGCTCAGAAAAGAGGCCCGTATTGACACAATGAAACTCAGATTGGATCTACATATCTGGAGCAAAGTGGGCAGAGTCTAGGACAACTGGTCATTTACACAATACCTCAGGAGCACAACCATTACTTGTTGGATTGGAGGTACAGTAACTGAATTCAGGACTAAAGCTATGGATTTCTACCCAGGTATTGTTTACGAGGGAGCTTGCAAAGGGACTTTTTTCTGACCTGTGACTCTGCAAAATCTTTGTGAGCAGAGTCTTTATGCCCCCTCCCACTTCCTTTGTTTGTAACCAAGGGATTAAGGGTCTTGAGTGGAAAGTTGAGGGTACTGGGGGTGACCAGTACTTGGAAGAAACTAGCCTTTGATTTTGAATATCTTATCAACCTATGCAGATCACTGTACTACTGATGGTGAAGACAGACATTATGAATAGAAAGCCAATGTGTTGGAGCCCAGCTAGCCACGATGAGATGAGCTCCTTGGTGCTCATAGCTTTAGCTCCTGTTAGCTTCCATTAGGGGAGAGAGGGCTGATACTGGTAGGTAGAGAAACCAAGTATTGCTAAACAGCAGGATGGAGATCACGGAGCTGAGCTCTGGCCTGGAAAGGGAGTGACCATATCTCGAGGGAAACTCACATGATCCTAACCACTCACTATGTGTCCTGCACTAATTAAAGCCCTTTCTGGAACATTCTCTCAGTTAATTTTCACAACCTGTCCTCAGTAAGGTATTGTCTACCTACATTTGATACATGGGAGAAATTGAACCCTAATGACTTTTTGAAATGTGTCCAGGCTCTCATAACTAATACATGGTAGATCTAGGATTAGAACCCTAGAGTCTGCCTGCACCTCCAGAGAACACTCTGAACTGGTCAGCTACACCCTGTGACTTTTCAGAGAGGAAAACCTGTTCAGCATTCTTCTTTTGTTGTATTCATACCCTGTACAGTTACACATTGTCGTAGATGATCAGCTGTACAAAATTTAAGATCACACAATTCACTTTGTTTTCTTCTTGACCCTCATTTTTTTTAAATTTGGGATTTTTTTCCATTAAGAATGTGAAAAGAATGTGTATTGCCTCCTCTTTCTAGCCCTGTGGTGGTTTAGGAAGATTCCAAGAAGGGCTGAACTTCCAGGGCTCCTCCCGGGAGACAGGGCAGAACAGAGGGAAAGATTACACCTTAACCTGTACTCAAGGGCATTGCTTATAAGTCTGTCCAACCAGAAGAAAGTTCAGATCCTTTATTTGTGAGCTGGATTATACCTCTGGAAGAGAAAAAAGGGAGAGACAAGTTTTACTCCCTCCTGGAGGCAGATTTCTCTACCTTGATTTTTTCAGAAATTTTGTACATTCTTTCCTCTCACCTATGTATCTCCTACATACCATACACACGATTCTTCTCCCCCTCCTATACCCTAGGCCACCTCAACCCACACCCACTGTTCTCTCTTCCAGCTATGGATCAAGGGAAATCTTCCAGGGTCCCTAGTTGGTATCTGTTTTCACAGCATCTTTGGGGAGGTTTTTAAAGCAAAGTGCTGGTAGAAGGGCCCTTGGCTGATGGGGCCATAAAGTGCCCTTTCTTTGGTTTTGTGCCTTCCCTCTTTTGTGGGGCCAGTTATTTGAATCCAGAGACATCCCAGGAGGGAGCTGCCCTGAGTATTTCTGTGACTGGTTGGAAGGCTGGCACACAACGAAGTGGGCATGCAGCAGACTGCCTCCCTGGCTTTTAGGCCAAAACATTAAAGCAACTCAGAGATGGAGAAGAGGCAGGAAATCTGTGTTGTAAAAAGTCTTTGTTTAAAGGAATTCTGTTCAGGTGCTGAGAACGGGGTGTTCAGCAGAAGAGGATAATATAAGTAAACATTGGCACTAAGAACAAACACAGCAGTATCACCCTCTGCGTCTGGCCTCCCCCTGTGCTCAGTCACAGTTCTCTCCCACCGCCCTCTCCGACAGCAATCACAAATAACATATAGAAGGGCTTTACAGTTCAGAGAGACCTTAATTCCCCCCAGTGGCATTTCCTTGCAGGGTTTCCCTATGCACTGGGTGACCCTGGTCCCACATGAATGAAAACTGGGCTTAAAGGACACATCCATGTCCTGGGAGCTGTATAGACTTAAAGAAAAACCTAGATAGGGGCAAAATTTGGGGCAAGCGGTGGGGGTGGGGGAAGAAGTGGTAGAGAGTCATCTAACAGGTCACCAATGTTGCTTCTGGGAGATTCCCGGAGGGTTGGTTCCTTTCAGCCAGGTTTAGGGCCAGGTCTGGACACATTCAGGAGGCCAGTGGCTGAAGGGCGGAGGGCAGGGTGAAGGCCCAAGTGAGGCCAAGGAAGGAGTGGATGCCCCTGGGGCTGGCACTTCCTTGGCTTCTCAGGGTCCTGGCAACCAAGAAAAGATTCCAGGAGTCGACCGGTGGCACCAATGCGAGAAGCCCCGGGCGGATGAAAGAAGCTGACCCGTGCGACCCCCCCAAAACCAGGAGATTCTTGCCCAAGAGCAAGAGATGGAATTCCCCTCACCGAGGAAGCTGCCGACCTAAGGGCTGGGACTGGAAGCGCGCCCTCTCCGGGAGCTTCGGGTCTGGGGCAGCCTGCGAAGGCGCGGGTGGAGGCCCGGGCGCGTCCCTGGGGGCGGGAGGCAGGGGCGGCCAGCAGGTGGGGCCTGGGGGCTGGACTCCGCCCCCCGCTCCCGCCCCGTTGGTCCGCTGCCGCTCAGCACCTGCCCCTCTCCAGAGCCGGAGCGCGATTGGTGGCGGCGCTTGTCGCTCGGAGGGGGCCGGGCCGCTCTTCTTCGCGGCTCTCCCAGCCGTAGCTGCCGCTGCCGCGGTTCTCCTCGCAGCGCCGGCCGGTCGGACCGCCAAGGCAGCCGGCACTGGCGATGGGAAACGGTGTGGCCGCCGACACAGGCAGTGGCAAAGTTTCCCAGACGTACACATCTGGGCGCGCGGCTGCCGGCTACCCGTGACCCCTCTAGGAAGGGCTCAGGGATTTTTAATTTGGAAAAAATTCCACCTGGTTTCCTTTGTCAAGGTCTCTCCGGGTGGCCAGTAGCAGGAGCTGCAAACTTGGGCACGGCGGCTTCACCGGCAGCGGACCGGGCTTTGGAGAACCTCAGGACTTAGGTGCTGGGGTGCCCAGCGGCTCCGGACGTGCTACGGGGTGTGAGCGCGGGGGAGTCCGGGGCGCGCGACAAGGAAGGGCCCCCGGGAGCTCTATATGGAGGAAGGAGCCCAGAATGGTGTGCACCAGGAAGACCAAAACTTTGGTGTCCACTTGCGTGATCCTGAGCGGCATGACTAACATCATCTGCCTGCTCTACGTGGGCTGGGTCACCAACTACATCGCCAGTGTGTATGTGCGGGGGCAGGAGCCAGCGCCCGACAAGAAGCTGGAGGAAGACAAAGGGGACACTCTGAAGATTATTGAGCGGCTGGACCACCTGGAGAATGTCATCAAGCAGCACATTCAAGGTACGGGCGCCCCGGAAACTTGGGTCGCCCATGAGGCCCGGGAGTGCCCCGCGCGGCGCGGGGTGCGCTAGGGCTGGTGCGCATCAACTCAGCCACGGCGGAGCTCTGGGGCCGCAGATGCGTGGTAGTCGTGGGGCCTGAGTGTGAGCTCTTGCCTGCGTGCGGGACCCTCTGTCTGCGGCCGTGCGCGCTTCCCTGGGGCACACGTGTGTGCGCAGGGCTGCACGCGCGGATGTGTGCAGCTAGCTGGCGATATGGGGGCGCGCTGCGCACGTGTCCAAATGTGCGTGTGACTCTGGGCTGGTTGCTCGCGGGCTCTCGGGATCGCACACAAGTCCTGCTCAGAATGTGTGTGCGTGTGAATATCTGTGTGTGTACAAGAGGGAACGCGCGGGCAAACGAGCTTTTTTGGCCACTGTAGGCGTCAGGCGAGATGCCCGCGCGGCGGCCCTGACTATTGGCAGTTAAGACTCGCAGGTTGCCGGACAATCGAGGCTAGGAAAATTGCGTTGTTTCAGCCCTAGCCCCAGTCTTGCTATGATCCCGTTGGTACGCGATGGGGAAAGCAAGGAGAACCGCTTGAACCTATAGCAGTCCCTACCCCCACCACAGCCCGCGGGTCCAGGACCCTCTCCAGGAGCAGGTATCAGCGCCGGCAAGTAGCGCTGGAGCTTGAGCTCTGTCCACTGTGGTGATGCTTCCGCCCAAGACTGGAAGAACACGCCCTGGGCTGCGCCTTCCCGGCGGAGCCGCCCAGGACCGGGTGAAGGCCGATCCCTCTGGTAGCTCCACTCTTAGGCCCTGGGGGCAGCCGGGGCGGAGCAGACAGACCTACCTGGGTTGGGTCTGAAGTGTAAGGTTACTCTGGTTGGGTGCGCTCCAGACCAGTGCGGAGGTCCAAAGGGAGGGTGGGGGTTGCAGGGCCCTCTCCCGAGGCGACCTGGTCAATGAGCTGTCAGAGGGAGGGGATGGAGTTCTGGGCCAGGAGCACTGGTGCCGGGTGTGTGTGCGCGCGCGCGCACACACACACACACACACACACACACACACACACGCCCTCACGTCCACACTTCTTCGCCTCCCCGCGCCCCCTGCTTTCTACCAGGCATGTGATCTTCTTAAGGGCAGGGCCGAGCCTAGTTCCCCTGTAAACCTAGCAGGCCCACCAGGCTGAGGGGCCAGAGCATGGCAGACCTTGGCAAAGTCGAATTGAACTGAAGTCTTCCCCCTCCTCCCCCGCCCCCCGCCAGGAGCACTCCCTTTTGTTTACACGTGGATGTCTGAATTTCAATCCTTGCACCTGCTGCCCTTGCCAGGGTAGAGATGGCTCCTCCGTCTGAATTTGGTGTTTCCCCGGGTGTCCAGAATAGTTCCTTCCCTGGAGAAGGTTCAGGGAGGTTCAGGTGAGTGCAGGAGAGGCATCCACACCCATAGTGCTTCCTGACTAATGACTTCAAAACAAGCCCATGGCTTCGGCACCTTCCCAGAAAAGAGAGACATAGACAGCTTCTTCTTCAGACCTGCCTCTGCCTCTCAACCCGGCACTGGGCTTGGAAACCAATTTACCTATCTGTGAGTGCCTGTTGCTATTATTTCTTACGTGTCCTCTTCCATCAAACAGATCTTGATTGACTATTAATCAGCAATAGAAGTACAGTGTTTCCCCCAGGGTGATTCAGAATGTTCCCCGGGAGACACAAAGCCATACCTTACTTTGACATTTCTAGTTTGCCGACAGATTTTGAGATTTTCATTCACAGATTCTGTGTGTGTGTGTTCCTGGAAAATGATTCTCTTGTGCTTTTCTTTCTGGTCAGGCAGGAGGTGAGCAAGGTACTGCTCAGGGGATGCCATTAACCCCTGAGCCTGTCATGGAGTGGGTGCCTGTCATGTGGAATATGGACCATGTCATATGATTTCTAAGGTTCGACATGGAAACAAGCATAATGTTGAAGTTGAAAGCAAGCATTGTGATTTTTTCTCCCCAGAAACTTTATAACTATGTGTTGTTCAGCACTTTGAAATCTATACCTGAAAAATTGGAGAAGATGGGTTAAAAAAAAGGAGGCAGGGTCCCTAAAACACATGTTGTTCCACTTGTACACATGCAGTGACCCCTGTGGGTATTCAGAAATAACCACAATCTCAAGACAGAGGGCCAAAGCTGCAACCTATAGGAAGGTAAGGAACGGTCAGTGACTTGGAAAGACTGGAAATGAGGCAGGCAGGGGCAGAGGTTACCAGGTTGGCTGTGCCATTATGGTGTAGCAATGACCAGCCGCTCCCTTTGCGGTGCTGGGGCCATCCTGAGCTGGGATTTAGGGAACAGAGGTAAAGGGCCTATAAAATTTGGGGCTGGTCAAGTGCAGCTCTCTGAAGGCAGAGGGTGGTAAAGGACAATAAGATCAAGCTCTTGTGCTTGATGGTACAAGCTGTTTATGTGTACCCCACTGTCAAGTTCCCTCTAGTCAGCATAGCCCTTAGAACAATCCAGTTTACTTTGCTGAGCTGGAGGGAATAAGGGGTAATAATAATAGCTAAAATTATATAGCACCTAGGATGTGTCAGGCCCTATTCTAAACACTTTACATATATTGACTTATTTACTCTTCACAACCTTATGAAGTAGGTAATATTCGCTCCATTTTACAGATATGGAAACTGAGGCAGGGAGAGGGTATATGATTTGTCCAGGGTCACACACTGGTGTGTGGTAGTACAGGGATGTAAGCTCAGCTAGTGTGGCTTCAGAAGTCTAAGTTCTTAGCCACGTACTAAACTGTCTCCCGGGAGGGCCCCAAGGTCCCTTGGAGTCCGTTAACAATGGTGGAAGTGGGTGTCAGAGGAAGAGACTTCAGAGGATGGCTGAGGGGTGAGGGAGTCAGCAGCCTTCCCACTTGGAAACGCTATAGATAAACTCAGGAAGCTCTGGGTTTTGCTTTGTTTCATGTCAAGAGGCAGAGGTTCCAGTCCCTTAACTAATGTTTGCTGAACATGCAGGACAGTCCCTGGCACATCCTACAGAAAGCAGCTGTGGGGTGAAAGTGTGGATGAATGGATGAGTGCAGATGCCTAGGGCCACGTTAGTCATTAATGAAAGTGTTACCACTCTCCAAAAAAGATGTTTTGCTTTGGAGTCTTGTTCAGGCTCCTCTTTTCTTTAGAAGGAAAGTCTCCCGGAAGCTGCAGATGTCACAAAATGTTCTGCAGGATGTTCCACAGGACTTGCAATTAGAAGAGGCTTTGGAGCATCACCCCAGAGGTCTGTTCTAGTCATGACTGAAAAGTTCATTTTCGTCTTGGGAGTTGCAGTGATATTTCATTTTAATTTGTTTTCTGATTGAATGATTTAATTAGATGGTATTTGGGACTCTCTTGGGAATGTAAATTGCAGTTTTGAGAAGTTTTTTGACCAAATAGATGTTAAATGAGAGGGTGGATAACTTATGAGTTTTTAAAAAAAGCATCCCGGGGGGTTTAGAAACACAAAGTAAGTGTTAGTAAGGGTCAGGTTCCCTCCATCTTAGGAGTAGAAAGATCTGATGGCTTGACATGGTGAAGTGGATGAAGCAAGAATTTGCTAAAGGAGTTCTCAATGTTGGAGAGTGCAGGAAATGGAAATGTTGATTCAGTTCTTATTTTGGAAGTTCCGCAAAAATAAAGATAGCTTTCTTCTTTTCTTAGTAGCTTTCTGAATATGGAAAAGAATGTGCCAATGTTTAGGAAAATATTTAAAAATGCATAAAACTGCCCATAATTCATTCTACCCTAAAAATCAGTTTGCATTTTGAGCATTTCCTTCTAGCTTTGTTCATTTGCCTCCATATTTCAAAATGAAGGTGTAGTCATGTTTTACATTAATTTTATATTCTGCTTTTTCACTTTCTTTTTGTTAATGAAGCACTATTTTTTTCCATATTTGCTACATAGTTTATTGGTTCAACATTTATCTGTTGGAGACCTAATGTGTGCCAGACACTGCACTGGGAAAGTGATTGGGGATTATAGTGGTGAATTGTACACTAAAGACACTCTACAAGAGTACGGGCACTCTTGGTCCCGGTCATAGTGGACTTGTTTTCAAAGGACAAAGAATCCCTCTTAGTCGATGTGATCAGGGCTTCAGTTAGTTAATAGAAAAACTGGTTAAAGAGGAGAGTACAACAAAATATTACATACATGCCTTAAATATTTTTATTTTAATTTTATCCAAAATGTGCATTCATTTGCAAGACTCTTGATATCAGGCCAAAGTTTTGTCTTTGGAATGTATCTGCCATTTGGCGTTCTGTTCATCTTCCTTGCACAAACCACTCCCATAATGTCCTGTTTACAAAGTTTGATTTCTAGTTCTGTTTTCTTTAAAATTCATTGAACACTTAAAGGTGCTTATGAAGCAGTCTCAGCGTAGTAGCCTAAATTGTTACGATTTTTGTCTCATCTTTTGCAATGGTTTTGCTCACATGTAATTTGATTGCTTTTCTTTAACTGACTACCCTTTATAAAGGCTTTGCAAAGCACTTAGAACTTAAAGTAATTTTCTTAGAAACAATGCTCATCTTTTTAGCAGTTGTATTTCATTGGTTTATGTAATACGTGATTAGATTATGCTGTTACAGTGACAAGTACAAATAGTGTAAACACATTTGAGAACAAACCCACTGGACGGCTGGTAAGTGTACAGCTCAACTTTTATTTGCAGGAGCCGTGGGCAGTGGTACTAGAGACAAATAGGGTTTGTTACAGAGGGAGTGGCAAGCATAGTTAATCTGGAGAATTGATTAAATGGAGAGTTTCTAAAGAGAACGTTTACTGTATTTTTAATGACTGAATAGTATTCTGTCATCAGTATACCATTACTGATTCAACCACTTTCCTATTATTGGACATTTGTTTTGCTATTATAATTAGAGCAGAAATGAACATCTTCACCTCACTGTTTTTTGATTATTTTTAAGGATGTCTTTCCAGAAGTGGGATTAGTACTGACTCAAACAGTCTGAACATTTTTATGAAAGATTGTTTTTTTCAGAAGGAAAGCCTTTCTTTACAGCCACCAGTAGTGTATTGT